AAAAAAAAAAAAATAAAAAGAATTGTTTTTTTATCTACTTTAAATGATGCTAAGAAACTGAACGAACATAAATTCATCCAAAAAGAAAGAAGGAAGGAAAAGTTTATTTAACGATTAGCCAACCTCATTATATTAAATGCGATTTTGTTTTTCAGTTTTTATGTGCAAAAATAGTGTGTAAAATTTTTTTCTACCAATTCAGAACAATAACGATTGCCCATCAAAGCAGCTTCTACCAATGCTCTAAAATTACTCTCAACAAACTTTTGGATTATTAGCGTAAATAACAAAAACGAAAAAAAAAAAAAAAAACGTAAGAGAAAAGAGAAATAAAGAAATAAATTGATTTCTAAAAATTATAGGCTCATAAGCCACGGCTGCATTTTCTACTGTAGTCAGGCTAAGATCTAGGGTTACCCTAGTTTCTATAATCATTCCATAGCACGTATAATGTGAAACAGTAATCAAGTTTAAAGAGCATCAAAGAAACCAATAAAGAATGTCGACATTACTAAAATGACTAATTGATATCCCACAATTTCAAAAGAAGTCTTTGCGCTTTTAATGGAATTCAAATCCAGAGAAAGTTAGAAAGGCTTCTTTAAAACAAAAAAAAAAACTTTTTTCTTTTCTGCAAAAAAATTCATTTAATCCGTCTCCTACAAGCACTAAAAAAGAAAATTTCAAAATATTTTATAATTGTTTGATTAATTTTTCATTAAATATTAATTGAATAATTAAATGACTACAAAGTTGTTTTACTTCACCCTGACACGGTGGTCAATTTTTGATAAAGTAGCACCGATTTTTAAAATTGGAATTCATAAAAACAAAATGAAAACTGCAAAAGAGAAAAAAGTGTAATCATTTTTTGTTCAGACATTATATATTTTTAAAGTGCGTTTAACTTTAGCCTAATTATAATTAAAAAAAAAAAAAAAAGAAAGTACAGAACAAAGATTTGATTTCTGCTGCAGTACTTCAAAAGAAAGAAACAGCTGATAAATTTCTTTCAAATTTTTTTTTTTGATATATCTAATTTACAAGTTTTATTTGTTGTTTACCAAGTTTTTCTTTCACTGATCTTCTTAATCTGTTGCATATATGTATTGTCCCACAAATCTCCTCCACCTTTTTTTTTTTTTTTCTCTCTCTTTTTACAAGCCAAATTAAGCAACGACAATAACAACCACAAAAAAGAGACTAACAATGAAAATTTTATTGCGGCATTTAGGCTTTATAAAAAGTGATTGTAAGGCGCAATAATCGTTATACCTCTTACAAAGTACTATTTTTTTTTTTTTTTGTATTTATTATGTTATTCATATATGTGAAGATCATATGAATATGTTTTTGTATTATTTCTGTCAATATTTATGTGTACCAATCAACAACAATTCAATAGATTTGAACCTATGTGGC